GGATTGGTTCTAGGCCTGTTGTTCTAGATTTTTATCACTCATCTGGAAGTAAATATAAAATGACTGCTTATAAATTTGCAGATGATGCCAACATTGGCTGAGTAGTAAATAGTGGGGACGGCACGGCAGTCATACAGGGTGATCTGAATGGTTTGATAAGCTGGGCTAGTTCAAACAAAATGCATTTTAATACAGCCCAATGCAAGATCATACATCTAGGAGCAAGGAATGCAGACCACACCTACAGAATGGGGTACAGTATCCTGGAAAGCAGTTACTCTGCAAGGATTTAAGAGTCATAGTGGACTGGAAACTCAGCATAAGCTCCAGTGCAGTGCTTTGGCAAAGAGGACTCATGCCGTCATTGGCTGTATAAACAGGAGTAGTGAGTAGGAGCAAGGAGGTGATTTTAACTCTGTAACAACATTGGTGAGACTGATACCAGAATACTGCTTACAGTTCTGGTGCCCACATTTAAGAAGGATTTTTGAAAAATTGCAGGTGGTGCAGAAAAGGGCCATAAAAATGATTCCGGGACTAAAGAAAATGCCTTATAGTGAGAGACTTTTAGAGCTCAATCTTTAGCTTAACAAAAAGAAGATTGAGAGGTGAACTGATTAGTGTCCAAGTACCTTCATGGTGAGAAAATACCGGTTAGTAAGAGGGCTCTTTAATATAGTGGAAAAGGTCATCACAAGAATCAATGGCTGGAAGCTGAAGCCAGACACGTTCAAATTAGAAATTAGACACCCATTTTTAACAGTGAGAATGAATAACCAGTGGAACAAACTGGCAAGGGAAGTGGTGGATTCTCCATCATTTAGAGGTTTTCAAATCAAGACTTGGGCACCTTTCTGGAAATTTTTTTAGCCAAGCACAAATTACAGGGGTAGATAGCTGTGTGAAGTATCTGTGTAGTGTAAGAGGTCAGACTAGATGATTGAGGCCTTTTGGCCGTTACAATTTATTAACAGACTTGGTGAGAGAGGAAGGTCCAAGAACAGTGTATTCTAGTAGTGCATAGGGTGCTGGATTGGGACTCATGTGACCTGGGTTCTATTTCTGGCTCTATCACTGACCAACTGTGTAGTCTTCTGTGCCTCTTACCTGTTCCCATCCGTTTTCTGTCTTGTTTTAACTCGTAAGAACTTAAGAGTAGTAATGTCTCAGTGGGGTCCAGAGCTCAGTTGAGGTCTTTAGGTGCTACTGTAAAATTAATAATAATCTTGGGATTAAATGCTGGATTTGGACCAAGATCTGTGATCAATTCCTGGCTTTGCCACGGGCTTTGTGTGACCTTAGGCATGAGCCACTGAGGGTATGTCTACGCTGCAATTAGATACCTGTGGCTGGCTCGTGCCAGCTGATTTGGGCTCACAAGGCTCAGGCTAAGGGGCTGTTTAATTGTGGTGTAGACATTTGGACTCGGTCTGCACCCTGAGCTGTGGGACCCTCCCACTTCATAGGATCCTAGAGCCCAGTCTCCAGTTTGAGCCCAAACATCTACTCTGCAATTAAACTGCCCCTTAGCCTGAGCCTCGTGAGATTGACTCAGCTGGCACAGGCCAGCTGTGGGTGTCTAATTGCAGTGTAGATATACCCTTAGTCTGTTCCTGAGTTCCCAGTTTGAACACTGAAGTAATACTGCTTTATCTTACAGGTCTGTTTTGAGAATAATATCATAAATGTTTGTGAGGAACTAAGATTCTGTGGCAAAAAGGGCTATTTAGCTATTTGAATACATGGGGGGAAATTTCTTCAGGTTTTGAAATTGAAGCAGTGGTGAGAGCTTTCAAATAAGTTTAGCAAGCAGGTCATTCCTCCTTCAGATAATTAGGAATACTATGGCACAGTACTGTACTTAAGAGATTAACTCACTGTGGACAAACTCTTGACTGGAAAATTACTTTCTGCTTAACTAAAACTTGGCTGAAAACCATGTGATAAATGTAAGTTTGTTCCAGATATTAATCTTTGAGGCAATATTAACTAATCAGATAACACGTGTAAATGAGTGCAACAAAAGTGTTTTGAAGAAAATTCCATGAAAATTAACTGAGGAAGTAAACAACTTTTGGTCTCTATAATGTCACACTCAAAGAAACTATTGTATTTTGGGGATTTATGATCTTAATGCAGTGCTTTCCAGATGCTTCTTATGAAGGTATGCAGAATCTATAAAATTCTTGGCATATATTGATGTCTTTCAGTGAACATAGTGATTTATTGTGTCTCCAAGAAAATATGGAGGCACTGACTGCATCTCCTTTGTTAACGTTATGTTCTGACAGTGGGCCTAAAATGGGGCATAAATTCCTGTTTTTCTTTATAGATCTAGATATAAAGAAAAACAGGAATTTATGCCCCATAAATATATATCTATATAGATATATATAAAGATATAAAGTTAGTGTGGAAACTTCACTTGCGAGTTTTTGTACAACTTGAATTTTTGTGTATGTTTTAGTTTCTCTTCATATGCTTTTAATAGGAGGTATTCAAAATTGATCTCTTAATACAATTTGTGAAAGTTTCACTTTTTTGTTGACATATTGCTAAAAATTGTGGAACTGCACAAAAATTGATAGCTGAATCTTGAGTAGATCCTGATAAAGGGCAGTTTTTGAAAACGTTTAGCATTATAAGTCGCTTTTTGCCATTTTTTCCTCATGATTGAAAATGTATACACAAGGGGGTAGCCAATGTATAAAATCTGTTCTGTTGTGTACATAAAATCTTGTCCATCAGTTAAAATTCTTCGTCATCAGCCGCTACACCTTTCTAGAAGATTTTTATCATACAAAAGAGTTTTTATATGCAGTACTCACTGAGAAGGTTTTATGTGCTGGAAGACAGCTGCTGCTATCTTGCTGAACCTTGAATTGATCATGTCAGAATATGAAACTCCTTTATTGCCTTTTCAAATAAAATGATGTAGGAATCCTGCTCAAACACGCAAAGCATCTGGGGTTTTCTTTTCACTCATCCAAAGCAAGCTGTTATAGGATATATTAGACAGAAACCCTGAAAAAACATTTATGAAAAAGATGTGCGATATCTCAAACATATTACATTTTTAAGCAGTTTTCTATAGTGATAATCTCCATATTAATTGCTATATGTGAAAGTAACTCAGTACAATAATATATGCTGCTAAACACCATAGAAAATGGTGATATGTTTCAATAACAGTAATATGTAACTAGCAAATGAGACTCTAAATTAGCCTAATTACAAACTTTGAAAATTGCAGAGCAAACTGGGCAGAAAGTATCCTGCACGTACGTTTGAAGGTATAATTATATGGTCAGATGTTCTTGGCTCTTTTACACACATTTGATGCTCCTTGAATATAAAGCAATTTGGGGACATATGTACACATACAGCTCAGCTGGAACAACTTGCTTTAAATGCTTTTACTTTAATCCAATAAAAATGTCCTTTTGCTATAAAACCCTTTTTCTATGTAAAAGCTCTTGCTTTTACTACTTTTCAGTGAAATTTCCTGAGACCCAGAAAAGTGTAGGCGTTTATCATTCGTGGTCTGGATAACCTGCTCTGTAAGGAGGAAAAGTGCTTATACTGTAATGGTAAAGTGCTTAGATTTAGTGGCACCAAGAGCTATATGAGGAGTTTTTCGGTGCTTACAGGTTACATATAATTTTTGCATGTATTTACTTATTTTTAAATGAAAACTGAACATAAGTTTTGAATCTGTATTTTCCTTGACAAACTAGTAGCAACTTCTTGTTTGAGCTGAGCAGCAATAAAGTGCTGCAGTTGACCAGCTTTATCTTGATCCTGCAGTTACTGGGAGAAGGAAATTGAGGGGATGCTCTTCAAGCCCTAAGTAGGTTTCACTTGCGTGGCACACAGTCTCAGGGCCAGCAGCCTTCAGCACTTACATGAGCTTTTTTGTCGTCGTCCCCCCCCGATAAAGATTAATCTGCTAACAGCAAAATACTCAGTGCAAGGATGACCAAAGCAACAATAAGGCCCACAACAGAGAAATTGCAATACAAATAAGGGTACGTCTTCACTTACCGGAGGGTCCGGCGGCAGGCAATCGATGTTCTGGGATCGATTTATCGCGTCTGGTTAAGACGCGATAAATCGATCCCGGAAGTGCTCACCGTCGACGCCGGTACTCCAGCTTGCTGAGAGGAGTACGCGGCATCGACGGGGGAGCCTTCCTGCCGCGTCTGGACCCGCGGTAAGTTCGGACTCAGGTACTTCGAATTCAGCTACGTTATTAA